CTGGAGGGTTTCCCATCTCATGCCATTAACATCCCACCACCATTAACAGCCCCCCCGACACAAAACTTCAGTCTCGCTTGTGATCTAATTCCTTATTAATTTTACAGGTTTTGTACTTCTCCACATCTTCTGCAACCTAAGAATTTCCTAGGACATGCTGTATCAAGTGCTTTACTGGACCTCAGGTAGATTCAATGTACCACAGCTCAAAAATCAGCTATCACTGCTTTCCTCCCCACTGCCCCTGCCTCAGAACTAGGCAGCAGGATTGCAGCCTCCGGTTATAAAACACCACCTTTCTTTTTATTAGGTCTGTCATAAATCCTTGCACTTGGATTTGCAATTTCATGTGACAGCTCTTTCCAGACACTAAATGGAGTTTTATCTCGTCTCTCTGACTTGAACCTCTCAGGATTTTTAGTTTTGCCTCATCTTGGATCTGTAATTTCCATTTCCAAGCTCAACAACATCTTAATTCTCGTTGAAAAGAAGGATGGCAGAACACTCATTTTGGGTTGGGCAGACATCTATTCTTGGTCAACAGCCCCCCACATCAATCCTCCTGCTCTGCCTCCTCTTGAGCCCTGTGCACACTTACCCACAAGCTACAGATCCGAGCCAAAACTTTCCACCCCCCAGTTCAGACTCATGAGGAATTCAGGTTACAGACGCCTCCTCCTTGTGCTAATGCCTGTTCTTGTAGAAGGGAATCAGTGACTAACACTGTACATATACCCTGTGGCAGCATTTGTCTCCCCGGGGGCTTCTGGCTGTTCCTGTCCAACGTCAGGAGCTGCTGGCAGCTCCTTATGCCCGACAACGGGATCTGCCCGTTCCACAGAGTGCACATCTGCATCCCTGACCTCAGCACATCGGCTGCACACAGCCCTGGAGCCCTCCTGCTTCCCTGTCACAGGGCAAGCCCTGCTTAGCCCCTTGTTATTTTTGGCTGTGCTTTTGTCTCTGGGATCCTCTAACCTTTAGCAATGAAAACAAAACCACAGAAGGTGCTGCCCTGGCCTTTGGCTCGCTGAGAGCAGCCAGGATGGGCAGAGGCTGAGGGCTAAAACCTCAAATTAGCAGCGTGGGACTGGAATGAGCCAGGACTGACCAGGCAGCTTAGATCTGCCATTTCAAGAGCAGGAACCTGCGGGGAGAGAGGAGGTGGTCATCTTGTTTCAGATAAATGCCCACTTTATGCTAATTAATTAGAAATTCAGGGTGGATAACAGGAGAGTTTAGATGACTGTTTAGCTAAATTATTCCTGTAAAGCCATGTGTGGCTATTGAGCAGTCAAGAAAGGGAATTCACCTGCTGCCTTCATTAGAGACACTCATGTAAAAGAGGAAGCAGAGCTCGGCAGCAGGGAAACCAGGAGTTTGCTCATGGCTCAGTTTTGGGCCATGGCTCAATGTTCACTAATACCAGCTCAGGGCAGATCTGGATCACATGGTAGCACTGACCTGAATCGAGTCAGGCACCAAGACACAGCAGTAACTTCTTTCTGACCAACCAGGCTATACCAGCCATGCACATCTCGATCAGTGACAGCACCTGAGTCACCACCAAGCTACTCCTCCAACTCCTGGGTTTTCTGTGGTTTGGTTTTTTTAAAGCTGTTTTTTAAAACATTCAGGACACATCCCCCTGTAAGGATACAAACAGTTGTGCTGGGATAAATAAACATTACAGGAAGATGGACAAGATGCTGCTAAGCCAGGGCTGTTGTAGAGAGAATTACTGTCAATTTTTGGCCTCAAGCTCAGCCTGTGGCTTTAGGGAAATTATTTAACTTTGCCACATGACATTTTCCTTCCCTATAGGTGACAAGTGATAGCAAAGATCCACTTTCCAGAATCAAAGGAGGCAAAATGGAACAGTAGTTGGAAACTACTTTACCAATCTTGCCTGGAAAGGAGGGAGACTGATGTGCAGCCATCGGAAAAGGATAGTACTCAGCCAGTATGGAGGGTTGATGCACCATGTCTAACACATCCTGAATGTGATCATTCCTATCCCTAAGGCCACTACAAGGACAAAACTTCACCCATTAGGCTATTTGATCAATATAAACACAGACAAAGAGCTAAGCAATAAAAATGCAGAGGCCCATTCAGTGAGTCTGGAGTCGTGAGTAAGGAGAGCAGTGAGCTGGAGGGGAGGATTTGCAATTTGGCTCTTAGAGAAGGCTCCTCTCTCCAGAGTGCAAATCAGAGCAGTGGCCAGGTGCTAAATAAATATTTAGCAAATGAGAAAGTCTCCATTTAATGAGAAATTATTTGGTGAAACCAGCTGGGGAAATGGTTTCAGTAGCGCGGTAACAGAAGCCAGCGCTGCTCTCTGCCCCACGGGGGCTGCGGTTCTGCTCCTGTTGCGTAAGTCAGGATCTCCAGCTGGGACAGGCACAGGAAATATAACTCATTACTGAAACGCAAGAGCCTTTCAGGGTTAAACCACTGTCAGACCAGCCAGATTCATTCCCTAGTTGCAGAATTTGCCTAGCAGCAGCTTTGGATGATTATTATCTTTTTTCATAGCAGCGATGTTGCAGACAGGATGGCCTGAGCGTAGTGGTGATGCCAAGTTTGTAGGAAGAAGTAATTTTTCTTTCTTTAATGTTCAAGGGCTGAGCTCCATTTCCTCACCTTTATCTACATCATTAGGCTGTCGAGATGGCAGTTCCCTGCCTAAATGTTAATTACTATATCTCTCTTTTAAGATGTGTTTTCAAGGGGTTAGTGCCTCAATCTTCCTTGTAATTACATGCAGTGGTTAGTACAACTTATCAGCTATATCCCAAGGTCCCCTGAGAGCTCATCCCTGCTGCAGTTTCCAGCAGATGAGCACTCACAGAACCAGTCCTTCAGAGAGCTGCTGTCTTCAAGTGTTCAGCCAGATAATGAGCCGATTACTGTGCCTGCTCCTTCTGCCGATGGTGAGCTCTGTGCACAGACAGGTCACACATCACCACTTGCTGCAGTTCATATTCCTCCCTTCTCTCTATCCCTTCAACTTGGCAAAACTCTGTAAAGCCAGCCCCTCCCTGGGGCAAGAACTTCCATAGGTTACTGACAGCAGAAAAAGGGAAAAAAATAAACTTTGTCAAAGTCTGAATATAAAAGTCCAGTAATAAAACACTCACATAGCCATGGCGGTGGGGCAAATCTCAAATGCTGAGCACGGCTTTGACATGTCAGCTGTGACACGTATGCACCAGGGAGGGAGCTGCTGTGGTTTGTTATGCCTCTACAGCTGAGAAGAAGGAATTACAGCTTCCTCACATGTGAAGCATTTCTAAGTGCACAGCAATAGTTGACGTTGCAAATTAAAATTAAAGCTGTGCTTCGGAAACTGCTACATTTAAATGTCAGATTCTTTCTTTGAAAGCTGTAAGATAGCTCATTCCTCTCCAGGGAAAGTTGAGTAGGAGTTTGTCTACGCAGGGAAAAATGTTTGCAATAGCAACTGCCTACTAGTTTCCCATGCAAACACTCATAATCCATACTTCAAGAATGGATTAAGGTAAATTACACAAAGGCACTCACTGCAGAGGACAGCACCCTGTTCATAACACTCCATTACCCTAGTACACAAACCACAGTTTGCTTTGCAGCAGTAACCCGATACAGATAAATGCTGACATTCACCCAAGATGTGAAGGAAGAAGAGTCTTTTAAGAAAATATTAAGTGACTGAAAAATACCACTTTTTTTGCAATCTGTGCACATCCAAAACTGAGACACCACAGATACCTGCCAGGGAAAAAATTCATGGGCAAATCACTGACTGAGTCAACTCCAGAGACTCAGCAAAAACTTTACAGCATAGCAGACAAATTGGCCCCAGCCTGTCTCTGATTCCTAAGAGCTACAATGCCTGGGCAAAGTGTGCTCCAGTTTTCTGTCTGCTGTTGGTCTACTAGAGGACAACCTAATAATGCTGAACTCCTTTGGGTTACACAGAAAATGGCCCACACTGAAAATGCTGCTGCCAAATCTGGCTGACAGCCCATGTTGGGACTGCTGATGTGTGTGTGCCAGGTCTGGTTTTTACTGGTACAGATTGATTCTGGTCTTAAACGACAGACTTAGAAGCTCCAAAAAAATGCCTCCTACGTTTGATGTCAGCCTTTACAACAACAGAGACAGAAACAAGGGATGTTTTCAGACAGACAGTTGTGGATTTTATAAAGCACATCCAATCCTCTACACTGTGCTGTGCCACAGAGAGAAATCTGCCTGTTGCTGATGGTTGACTTCTGACATGATATTATGCTTTTACAGTGCAGAAAATGTTCCGAGGTACAGAACGATCTGTTTGCCCCAGTACCATGTGATTTATCAAGCTATAATGAAGGAACCCATCTCATGTATAAACAGTGGGCAGGAAGCACAACAAAATCATCAGCTCAAAGCCACAGAAAAGAACAGGCTACTGCTCTGGCAAGGCAAGGAAAAAGAGCAAAACAGCTTCTCAAAACCCAAGGGGGTTCCTGCCTAGTATTTTTAAGGCAAATAGAAGACAAAATCTGAGCTAGCAATAGAGCTAATTTCTGGAGCTAGGAAGCAAATGAGCTGTGGCAAGAAGTGGAACAGCAAAAAGCAGCAGAGAACTAATTACAAATGAAGTGTGTCAGGCTGGAATTGAAGTTAGAGGTCAGAGAGTAAGAGGGTCAAAGCAACAGAGTTTTCAGTGGGTAATTTGGTGCCTGTGACTCGAGAATGAAAAGTGCATATGTCTACAAGAGAGAAAAATACACACTGAAGGCGGATCAGAACTACTTAAAAGGCAAAAATCTGATACTCCTATAGACATAGCGAGCACGGGCTGGCTGTAGCAGGGTGGGTGCAGATCCCAGCCCTCCCTTGGGGGGTGTGATGGGAGGGGGCGCTGCCCAGCCCCCGTGTCGGCCCCCTCCGCTCCCCGCCCGGTTGGCCGAGAGCAGCCCCCCCGGCCCCACTCCGCACCCGCGTTCCCTCCCACCGACGGCGGCGAGGGATGCTCCCACCCGGCGTGTCTGCCGGAGTCAGCTGCTCCTTGATGTCAGAACCTGCTCCGGGCTCGGCGGGGCGGGAGCGGAACGGAGCTCAGCCGAGCCGCAGCCCCCGCTCGCCGGCTGAGGGAGCGCTCCTGCCTCCCGCACCCTGCGGGGAAAGCGCGGGGGGCCCATCCCATCCCACCGCGGACCCGCCCGGGGAACTTCCCAAACTTTCTTTCTCCGTCCCGGGACTCGCTGCCATGGCCCCCGGCAACTCCTCCCGCAACTTCTCCGCGCCGGAGGCTCGGAACGGCTCAGGTGAGAGCGGGGGCTGCGCGGGGCTGGGGCCGCTGGGTGGGGGCTGAGGCGGGGACCCCCCGCACCCCGCCCGGGCCGCCTTCAGCACCCGGGGGCGGACAGCTCCGGGCGGGACGGGCTGACCCCTCCAGGGGTGCGGGAGCGGCACCGGACCCGCCCCGGCGGCTCGGAGCCATCCGCTACCTGTTGGCTGCCAGGCAGCAGCAACTCCAGCAGCCCTCCGGTCCTGGTTGCTGAGAAGGGACGAACCAGCCCGGCTAGACAGGGAGGGAGCAAAGCACTGAGAACGTGAGATACCGCTGGAGAGGGAAGCAGAGATCTTCACCAGTCTCCCGTTTTCTCCTTGCTACCCTGCTCCCAAATCAATTGTTTATGGTCAAGCAAGTCAGTTCTTGATGGTGCCAGTTGAAACTCTTCAAGGGAAGGTGGTTTATATGTGGGTTTTTGACTCTCTCTGCACCAGCACATCCTTTAGAGACCAAAAGTGTACCTGAGCTGCTTTGTTCTGAAATGCACTGAAGATGTAGTCTCTTGTGTATCTGGGTATGGCTGAGAACAACCACCACCTTAGAGAAAAAAAATTTAGCCCAGTCCTCATTCAGTTCACATAGTTCAGTCCCCTTTGGAACTTCCAGAAGGAGTATCAGAGCAGACACAGGTCTACAAATCAATGCCTGAAGTGGCTGTTTCAATAAAGTGTATTCACTAGGATGTGCACAGCAGGATGGGAAATTCAGATTCAATATCTCAGGATGAAAGAGGCTTTAGAAAAGAGATAACTTCTGAGTATTTGATAGATGTGCTCTTCTGACTCAAGCCCATAAAACACACATGAGCTACAGCTTCACACTAGCTTGCAGCTAATAATGCTTGAAGGTCCTGCTTGTACAGCCACCAACAGCAGGACTGTGCTACAGCATTGCACAGACCACTTTTCACAGGAAGCCTTTGGGCTTGCACACATTCTGCTTTAAGGCCAGCTGAGCTCATTCCAAATGTTACAGAATCACCAGGAGCACTGTATTGATTATACTGCAGGAAAAGGACATTTTGTCCCAATTTCCAGCTAACCAAGTGGCATTTATGTTTCATCACTCATACAATCCATTCCCACCACATTCATAACAAAGCTTGCAGTTAAAAGAAAGGAGACCAGAACTCTCAACAGCTACATGCAGAACAGCAGGACCACAGTCATCATCTTCCAGTTTCTAGTCTGCCCTCTTCCAGCATTAAGGTGTGAGATCTGTTTGGATGCTCAAGGGATGCACAGGTTGGATGCTGAAGAGCATCAGGTTTCAATCGGGCACTGACAGCTGTATGTTATCTACTAAAAGCCACATAAAATGGAACATTTCCTTGTATTAATGAGTTACCAGGAGGAATGGGGACCATTTAACCCCCCAAAAATGATCTGGACAGGCTTTTTTGTATTATCAGCCAAGCCTGTCTTCTACCTTCAGGCCCCTGCCAGTCTTCCTGTGCCTCATTGGCTGCTTTCTGACATCTGCAGAGAGGCTTCCCAATAAAATGGTGCAGCAACTGCTCTCTCGGGTTCTGGCCTTGGCCTCACTTATGCCTAAGCTGGCTGCTTCCCAATGCCAGAAGGACTGAGCCAGTGGCAACTCATCATGGCCCACTTCTAAAAGCACTGAAATACTACACACAGCTGACACAGCACACACTTTGCCAGCCACAGGCCACCAGTGGGGCCCAAGTTATCTTGCCAGTTCAGACAAACTTCTCTGTCACACCAAAGTAAATGGGGAGAAGGTTGTACTCAAGAATTCCAGAGGTCAAAGTCAGCAAATATCACCTCAAAGAGGCACCGCTGTGGCAAAGACTACACCTACGAGTATCTGTTATTTCACTTAATCTTATTTTCAAGATTTCCTTAGGTCCTGCTGGAGGAACCACTTCTGCTGCTGAGGAGGTGGAATAGCTCAGTGACTGAAAGCATTTCCAATTAACGCACATTGAGTCATCTGCAATTCAATGACATGCAGTCTAAGCTGAGGGGCTGCCACGCATGTCCTTGTAAAAGCCACATAAATAACTCACACAAAGCCTTTTCCTAGAAAAAAGCCCACCAGGCCCCATGGGAGAGGAGTAATGAGATGAAATGAGATTTGCCTCAGCTGAGAAGGGCGATCTCAGACTCCACCCCACAGTGCACATGGAGCCCTGCAGAACAAAGAGCACCACCATCACTGCCTTTGACACCACCTTCTGTGCCCAGGAGCTTGTGGCTTCAAAATGTGATTTTACACCCAGACAAGGCAAATGTGAATTTGGTTACTTTTGGGCCTCCTACCCCAAAGAGCAACAGTCAACCATCAGTGCTACGTGTTATCAGGCAAGAATTTTGCCTTGGAAATCCACCTACATCCAGAACTCAGAGACTGCAGTTTTAAGCTTTTTTTTCTCCTTGCAGAATTAGGACATTCTCTGTGGAAGGGCCACTCTGAAACGTACTCCAAAATCCCTGTCTGGTCACACACCTGGATTTCTTTCTAGGGAAGAAACTAGAGAAAGGGAGAGAGGCAGAGAAGGAAGACTTGGGACTCAGCCAGGGTACAGTCCCAGATCTCACAGCACAGACAAGCATTAGCTGTCTGCCTGCACAGTCAGTGAACTCTGTGTCTCATCCTGTACAATAGATAAACTACCCAACAGATGAGCTGACACTTTCTGACAACAGCTTGAGCATTGACTTTATCCAGATTTTGGCACCCACAGAGAGGCTTTACTTCTCCAATGTGTGAAGCACCAGCTGCCTCATCCTCTCCCCTCAAAAAATGCCTGAAAAACCAGCACTCCCAGGAATAAAAGTTACTACGGACTCTGTCAGACACTAGTGAGTACAAAGGCATGCCAGCCTGATATAAGTCTCCCCAAAAAGGCAGGGGAGTTTCAGAGCAGAACAGAAGAAAGCTGAGGAAAGATGTTTACACATGGCCAGATTTAGGTGGTGTGCTGCATGTATTGAGAGGCACAACCAAATTCTGCAAAGGGTATTAAAAAATCATTCTGAGCTACATCTTTGGTAGGGATGGGTCCAGCTGCAGGACAGGGCAAGCACAGAGTTGTAATGAGGTTGCCTATGGGTTGCACTCACTGCTTTGGTTTGTTTTGGCAGCAGCAGAGAAGCCAGCACCGTACACCAACGTGATCATGCCCAGTCTCTTCAGTATCATCTGCTTCCTGGGCATTGTGGGGAACCTCATTGTCATCTACACTATTGTTAAGAAGAAGAAGCTGAGATGCAAACAGACCGTGCCCGACATTTTCATCTTCAACCTCTCCATTGTGGACCTCCTCTTCCTCTTGGGCATGCCCTTCCTCATCCACCAGCTCCTAGGCAATGGCTCATGGTACTTTGGAGCTCCCCTGTGCACCATCATCACTGCCCTGGACACGAACAGCCAGATCACCAGCACCAACATCCTCACAGTGATGACACTGGATCGTTACCTGGCAACTGTTTACCCCCTAAAATCTACCTACATCCGGACCCCGTGTGTGGCAGCCCTCGTTATCTGCTTGGTGTGGCTCCTCTCCTTCCTGACCATCATTCCCGTGTGGATGTACGCCGGTCTTATGCCTCTGGAGGATGGGACCGTCCGCTGTGCCCTCTTGCTTCCCAACCCAGAGACTGATATCTACTGGTTCACCCTCTATCAGTTCATGCTGGCATTTGCTGTGCCTTTGATCATCATCTGTGTGGTGTATTTTAAGATCCTCCAGCACATGGCCACCACCGTGGTCCCACTGCCCCAGAGGAGTCTCCGGGTACGCACGAAGAAGGTGACCCGCATGGCAGTTGCCATCTGCTCCGCCTTTTTTATTTGCTGGGCTCCCTTCTACATCCTCCAGCTGGTTCACCTTGGCATTGACACACCATCCATGGCCTTCTTTTATGCCTACAACTTTGCCATTAGCTTGGGCTACGCCAACAGCTGCCTCAACCCCTTCCTCTACATTGCCCTCAGCGAGACCTTCAAGCGCCAGTTCTTGGTGGCCATCCGCCCTGCAAAAGAGCCCTGTCGCAACAGCAGCTCTGCCAACAACAACAGCATGACAGAGGCCAGTGTGTGTCTGAAACTGGCACCAGAATCCACCCAGCAGACTCAGTTTCTGGAGGAGTTTTCCCCACGGTCAGTGCCGGTGACGGTGGCTGTTCACTAGGGCACTCTGAAGTGCCCACAGCAGAAAGACTTCAGGTCTGTAGGTGGATGGAGAAGCAGCAGCTTCAGGCAGGCTTTTGGAGAAGCATATGGACTACAAATTTCCACCTCCAAGAGCCCTTTTTCACTGCAGGGCTCTGCTCCTACACTGCCCCCAGCCTATAAGATGCTGTGTACTGCTGCTTCTTTCACTGTGCATGGGAGAACTCTGTCACCACGGGCCCGAAGAGGATGAATGGAAAAGAGATAAAGGACAAAGAGGATTTCCAAGGGGAATATTCATGCTGGAAGAGTAAAACCCCTATCAACACTGCCCAATGATGCCTCTTGGCCCGACTGGGGTTCCTAAGCAGCTTGTCAATAGAGCTTCTTCATTCAAAACTTGAGCCTTTGATTCACAATGTCATATATTTATAAGAAATCTGCAAACTTTGATGGCTCTGCTGATATCCCAGAAGCACACAGCAGAGAAAGATCTTGGGGCCAGAAGTCTCACCCAGACTTGGCCTTTCAGTCCAGTTCTGTCTGCCTCCAGTGGGCTTTATTGTTTGGCGAGCTAGACACCTTCAGGAATTGGTTCATTTTGATGCTAATTCTAAATATTTCAAGCAAAATCAGGCAGATAATATTCACACTGCTTCAAGGGACTGCAAAAAATTCTCAAAACCACCGCTGCTAACACCAGCTTTGTGGCTTTTCATGCCAATGAGCAGATTTTCACAGCGCTAGTTCCTCATGCTGCTCTTGTGCCTCACAGTCTGCATGGCCTTTGGGGAACCCCAGGCAGAGGGTTTTAAACAGGACTAAAAAACACAATGTGCAGAGCTCTGCAGAGCGAGGAGCTGTGAAAGAGCAGCTCAGGGAAAACAGAGTTGCTTACGCAGCTTCCTCAAAATAACAAATGCTTCACACAAAGTTAAGAGAGGGAAAATTAAATGTCTGTGTGTTGTATATGCAGCTTTAACAGTCGGAGGTTAGGAAATAACTTTGCTCATTATAAAGACTAGAGAAAAGACAGCACAGATCAGCTAAAAGCAGGGATTACACCAACAGCCTGTGCTGGGCTCCACAGGGACACACATTGTTCAACACTTTGTCAAACATGAAGGAACTGGTTACTGTAGATGGATTTACTATAAAGAATTAAAGACATCAAACAGTTCAAAGGCATTTGTTACCATGCTTATGGTCTCACGGCAGCAGCCACCCACGATATACCCAGAACAGAAACTCAGCCTTACACAGCCACACAGCAAAACCGTGTCACCTGCACAGGATTTTCTAAGCCAGGCAGGCACTTACAGGTGCACCCAGTGCACACACATCACACTTGCAGGTGTTTTAAAGTACAGCCAGTACTTCAGCCTGTAGAGAACACACAGCCGTTCACTCACCTCTGGCGATCAAAGCAGGCAGGTGTGCAACACCAGCAAACTTTTGGCATCGTCAGGTGCAGCACATTGCTTTTTGATTCACCAAACAGATCTCAGAACAGAGTCTCTGTCTCTCTCACCCCAGGTTCTGTCAGCCTGTGCCCTCCGTGGTGGCAGCACATCCACACCATGACCGACGGTACCGTGTCGGTTTTTCCCCGGGCAATAAAACCAGACACATCAGGAACTTTCAAGCTTTATGACCTGAAAATCCTTCCCCTTTTTAACTGCCAGGAATTTTCACCTGCTGTTTTTCATGGAGCTGCTCTGCTCTTTGGTCAGTGCTTTCCCTGAAGGGCTCCAGAGCGAAGGTCGGGGAAGACGTGGGCTGTGCCAGCCAGACCTGCCCTCAGGACAAGAGAAGCTGTTGTGTTACCTTTCTCCCATGAGGAAGTGAAGGGAAGAACTGGCACACTTTGCTGGGAAAGGAGGTGATAAATACTGGGTGGGTTTTTTTCCTCTAATACCAGTCATAAGGAAAGTATGAGTGAAGTGAAAACAGACTGAATTACTGGGGATCTCAGACAGCAGCACGTTGAAGATTTTATCTTATTCACACAGTAAAGATGTTTATGGTTGAACTGGTCTTTTCCCATCTGAAGTGAGTCAGTCTGACCTGGTACAGCCAAGCCACATGCTAAAAACCACAGGGGCACCATGGGCTAACCAGGAAGGGAGGCCAGCACCTGGTGCAGCACTAAAAAGGGGTGTTGAGGGGTAAACCTTTTCCAGATCTCATCACACTGAAGTCAACACACAGTACATGGGCACTTTTCCAAGCTGAAGTCCTTTTAGATATCATCTACGTGAGGTAGAAAGCCATGTCAGAGAGACCTGGTCCCAACACCAGGGACAAGGCTTCCCATTTAGCCAGTGCCCCACTAGAGACACCTGCCCCTTCCTACCACCCTGCAAAGGCTCACAGTTTACATCTCCTCATGTTCCTGCTGCCTGTCCCCAAGGTGTTTCTTAGTCCAAACATCTAAATACTGGCTGTGGGTCCCTCCCTTTCCCTGTACATCCATAAAAACACATCTCGGGGAGACCTGTAGATGAAGCTGGGAAGAGAGACACAGACAGGAAGCAGACTAGCAAAGAACACAGCCAGCATACAGCTTTTTGTCAGCTTCCCAAAATCATCCCAAAGCACAGGGCAAGAGCCTGTCTTTTGAAGGCAAACCTTTTGATCAAACACCTGCAGAAGTGTCACCCTACCTAGAGGGTAAGGTAAGGCCTTCCAGTAGCTAAACAGTCTCTGTGCACCTTGCTGTGACCTGCTTCAAACATCCTACCCCTTCTCAAAATTTTTCAGAGCTGGCTTTGTTTAAGTCTGAGTGTCCATCAACGTTCTGGTTTGTGTTCAGCTTTACCTCTTTGTCTCTCTGCAATTTGTATTTATTATGTGACCCCCTGTTTCAGTGCCTTGGTTACCAATGGCAGAGCCTGAATAAAAGGCATGGCTAAGTAGGAAAGGACACAGCTACTCACACAGGAATAGGCAGCCCCAAGTGCTGCGAGAGAGGCACTGTGAGAAGGGCAGAGAGACGGGGCAGTGCATTTAACAGCAACCCTGCTTCCCATACACAGCCCATTGTCTCTCTTGTTCAAACCCAGCTAAATAACCTCCCAAAACAAAGGGTGACAGAAAAACTATTCCATCTAGTTGTTCAGATCAGCAGCTCACTAAGCTCCATGAGATGAATTTCCCTCACTCTCTCTGCCAGCTCTCATCCCGTGTGTTCACGAGCTTCCTTGTCAGACAGCGGGGAGACAGATGGGTTCACTCTCCACCCCCTCCTCTTCCCCTCCTTGTCCTCAGAGGTGCGACTGAAGCCACATGTCACAGCTCTGCTCCTGATAAACTCCCACAAAGGGGCAGATGGTCCAGTTACTTTTACTCCTACTTCCCCAGCCTGTGACAGAGCCCGCCTTGGCTGGTCACGTCAGGATTCAGTCCCCAGCTCACCCTTCTCGGTTACCCCTTTTCCATTATCCACATCCCTGTGTCCACACAGGCAGTAAATTAAACTCCTGCCTTTCCCTGAGTCATAGCTCTGCCAAGCCAGCCCTAACAGCAAGCTGGAGGTCCCCAGAGCCCAGCTGGGCAGCGAGCTGGTGACATCCTTCCCCGGACACCTTTCTCCACCTGAAGTCTCTGCACAGCTAAACCAGCCTGGGAGAAAACTGCAGCTGTGATGGAGCACAAACGCTGGAGGCTGCAGGGTGGGGAGGAGGGAAAGGTGGGGTGACTCACTGGCCCCTGGGACACAGCCAGAACCTGACTAATCCTGTTTCCTCAATCCTCCTGGGCTGCTAATTGGACGCATTTCATTCAACAGACTCAGAGGAGCCACGTGGCAGGTACGGATACGCTCCCAGCCCACTCGCTTCTCCTAAGTCCTCCTGCCGGATGCAGGGACCACACAGCAATGCCCTCCCCGCTCATCTCCCATTAGCAAAGCCACACAGACAAATCCCCCCATCCCTCCTCCACTGGCTCCATCACTGCGGGGGGAGGGGGCAGCACACAGCAAGGACACCAGCAGCAGAGAAGTAAAGGGGGAAGAATGTCTCCTCTACAGCCCCAAATTCCCAGTGGAGGGCTCCTCCAGCAGATGGGGATCCTTCAGAGTCTCCAGAAGACGGATTTTGAAGCTGGATTTACAGGGCAGTGTTTGAACAGGGAACTCACTGCACCACTGGAGGGAAAACCTTTGCTAAGCGATGTAGACCACGGCTGAGGGAGGGCATGGGAGAGGATACCAGCTCTTAGAGCCTCTGTGCCCTATCCATATCCCATTTGGGAAACAGCTCCTATTATGATATAGGATCAAATAATAATTTCTCTCACAGCATCTTTCTACCAATACAGTTGTGTTGACTGTGGGAATCACCACTCCTGACCTCCCAGTCTGGCTCATGGGAGAGCAGCAGCACTGGCTTCTCCTGAAGGGTGGAGTTGGGCTTCAACAACTGCAAAGTTAAACTTGAGAAGTGGCTTATTTCAGTGTGAGGCATGATAGGGCACTGAGGAGTGCTTTCATAGGCACTTCTGAACGTGCTGAGGGCAAACATGTTAGAAAAGCCATCAGGGTTGTCACCTCAGTACCTTTCACCATCTCTAAATACTGCTGGAGTAAGGTTCACATACCATGGGGTCCACACTTTACATGGAGCCCTCCTTCAGTCCTCCAAAGCTAAGTCACTACACCAGCCTTGCCCTCCCCAAGCACAGCAGCTGAACAGCACAAGCACCACTGAAGGCTCAAGGCCCTGTCCTACAGGTCCACACAGGGTTAGTCCTCTGGAAATGAGAGCCAGGTTCTGCCCATTACACCAGGGCAAGTCTGAGTTCACACCACAGTGGTGAGTAGGTTTTTAGAACAGCAGGGAGCAGACTCTACCCCAGGTACTGACTGCATCATCATCCAGCACTGCATGAGAACAGGAGATCCACAGGATCTGAGTCCACAGAAGTGCCTCTGGGGCAATGATTTTTCTGAGCTTCAGTTAAACAGTGACATGCTCAAGTTTTGGTTTAAGCTTTAAACATTATTTCTTCCACTTAAAACTAAGTTAACAGATGAGTCAGCCTTTCCCTCCAATCTGTGCTCTTCTGTCCCCTGCAGGTTTCCACTTGCAGGGTAGGCAGCCTGAGAGTCAGTGACATCATTTTAATTATTCTGGTGTTTAGTTACTATTAAGCTGCCTTTGCTAAGTCTGAAAGGGCTCTTACGATTATCTTCCTACACATGCTGCTGGAAGCACAGCTTGGCAACACCAAGCTGCCATGCCCTGCTCCACCAGTCACTTCAGAGGAGAGGGCAGAGCAATCCTTAAACAGCCACAGCAAGGATTATTCCTGCTTTATCCAGGAGCAGGAATTCTCACACCCACATGCCGCTCCAGGATGCTGTCCTCTTCCTTTTCTCCCATGGGGCTTGACCACAGAAAGCCAAGCACTAACATTTTCGCACACATTTTGGCATAGAGGGATAGGAATAAGTGCAGTGATGAAAACAGTGAGTGAAGTTATCACTGATGAGAGCTTCTAAAAGCTTGTATTGACTTATTCCCTTAAGAGCTTGGTTCTTGGAGGTGGCACCTTCTCCAGAAGCCAGGTCCCTCCCAACAACAAATTGAAACAGGTTATGAAAGGAGCAGACTGTTCACATCAGGCTCTGTCCTCCTTCCTGCCTGCTCATAAAATAGGACTTTGGATATCATCTTACACAAAGCATTTTGGGGATTTAATTCCACCACCCCCCAATTCTTTTGGTTTTTTTTTTAAAGGTCATTACAACCTCCTAGACTCCAACTTAGACACCTTCAAGTGCTCTGAACACGTACATTTGTCATGTTTTCAACACAGAAAGTACTTGAGAAGAAAAAGAAAACAGTAAAATGTCACCTCTCAGTATGAGAACAAGTTGCCTGTCCTTTGCTATCATTCAAATCCAGATACTTTTCCTCAGCCAAACGCTGCCACTGAAGAAAGCACACAAACATTTCCTCCCAGGCTGAGACAGGCTGTGCCAAGCCACGGCCCTCAGTCAGTGCTGGGGGGCTCAGGTCTAAGAACAAACACTGGCAGCTCAATGAGAAGGGGCTCATTTGCTGGAATTAACATTCAGCCTTTCTGCAGCATGGGAAACATCGATTGTTTGGTGAGAAATAAATCATGTGCCTTTCTTGGGGGGGATTTTAATGAGACCTCCCCCCTCTTTTTCTGACACTCACAGACTCAGGGTAAAAAAGAAAAAAAGCAAAACAACATTCCAGCATCTCCCCATCAACCCTGCACTGTAGTAGCCCAATCAGGCTAATTAGGATGTCTCCTGTGTGCTCAGGGAGGCTTTACCCAGCAAATCCAGCCCCCTGTTCATTATATTGCTGCAGCACAGCTAATTACTCCCGGCTTGAGAGGGAAGGGGAGCAGACCAGCTTTGTATACAGTTGGGAAAAGGGCTGTACTGAGTACAGTGAGGTCCTGCCTTTCCTTCCTGCCCTACTAGATCTCCTGGTGCTCTGAGAGGATGGAGGAAGAGGCTGAACTGGGTGGTTACTTCTTAGAAGAACCAGAATAAGGACTGACACACCCTGGAAACCCTTTACTTGTCTTCAAACTCACCCTCACACCTGGAACAACAGTTATTCAGGGAATCTGGCTTGAACAGCCAAACACCAAACCAACCCTCTGAAGGGGTGTGGGCATCCCTTCCAAAACGGGATGGCACCCTACACGTTGCACAGGTACATCCAGGAGGTTAATGCTCATGGGGCAATGGCAGCACTGCACACTCCAGGCCACACAAGGCAACGGGCCAGCAGCTCAGGCAGCCTCAGACCCCTTTTACTGCTTGGCCACAGGAGGAAATCCAGAGCTTGCTCTCACTCACACCACTGCTTCCTCCAAAATTAATGGCATGGGGTTAGAGAAAAGCCAAGCAAAACAAGGTCTGAGTCATGCCAAAAGCTTCTCCTGTGGCTACCCAAGAGCAGAGTTTGACATCTCAGGGCTCTAATTTCACCACCAAAAGGAGCTGCTAAGAAGGAAAGCTGGCATGTTGCTGTCCTCTAC